GATGGGCGGAGAGAATGGTGATTATGTGTTGCTCTCAGAATTAAACAGTAAGCCCACATGTATGAATTCTTTAAATAAGTAGCAGCTTATTTATTTTTCCATCCTACAGATAACTGGATGATACCAGTGCACACATATTGGATTTATTTCAGCAATAGAGATCGCATTACATGTTATATTTCACAGCTGTACTGTCACTCAAAATCAAGGATGTCACAGAAGAGTCTAGAGTTGTTTCAGGGTCACCATCTGATTACTTTTTAATTAATTCCTGATTTTAAAATAAATCTGCATAAAAGAAAGTTAATAATTTGGGGATATAATTTATCTGGAAGTACTTTTTCCTGCCAAAAATTTAAGCTTGAAACACTTTACCAAAAAAAAAAAGGCACACTTAGATATTGCATAGAAAGGAAATTTCATTCATAACTAAGTAAATTCAATAAGTAAGTGTAATAAGTTAATAGGACAGGTAAAGTTATATTTAAAAGATCTCAATATACAGATGCATAATTAAACAAACTGACTTATAAGTAGGTACAACAGGATAAGCAGATTTGTAAAAATCTAGAAGTTAGATCTGGTATCTAAAATGTAATAGTGGAAATTCCATAAGCTTTTCCAGACAGTTATCTCATTCTGTGCTATGAGGAATAACCCTGAGATCCTGTAAATTGAAACAAAGCAAGAAAACTTTACGGCAGCAACCTGTTCCTTTACACCATGGCCTTGGAGTAATGAAAGGTCAGGACCAGTGATCATCTATCTCCATAATTTCACTAACAATTGACAAACACAATTTAGAAACTGCCAAAAAGTGAAATTGATCTTGTTCTTAGTGAAAATTGTATCTATCTGTTTAGATTTCTCTACTATGGTATGATAGCAACAATGATAAAGAATTCATCCACATCCATCAAGAAAAGTAAGAAAGCACTACTCTGTAAATGGTTTGATTCAATTTACAGAACAGAAATCCCGTTTAAATGATATATCTTAGAACTGGAAATGTTCTAATATTTTTCTTTACATTTATTACTTGCAGCTATAATTTTGAAGCAGACATAATTTAGGAATATACAATTGTATGAGAAGTTTGAAGATGCTAATTTATCAGCATATATATTTCCTCTAAGAGCTAACACTTTTTTTTTTTTTTTGGTACTTTCTAGAAATTAAAAACATATTACAATTCAAAGAGGATGGCTACAAATGTTATAGTATTAAAACACTTTTTAAAGATGAGAATAATAGTTTTCATGATTAGTTGAAATGCTAGGCAACCATTATTCATTATTTTATAAAGATATTTTAATACTTGAAACAGAAACATACAAGCCACATGCTGTTAGTAATTGATAGCAAATTGGAGATCGGTACATAGATAAGTTTATTATTATTATTAGTAGTAGTATTTTATCTTAAGCAAATACAGTTTGCCAAATAACTATACTACATTCACACACACACACACACACACACAGAAATACACATGGTAGAATTTTATTTTAGGTAAAAGCAATGATCAATAATATTAGTTATTTAAAATAATAAGCAATAATCGAACCTATTTAGGAGATGAGTGCAGAGACAATAAAATCTTAAAGATATTCACCTATGTTCTCACCAATTACACACTGAAAAAACATAATTCAACATATTAGAAATAATTGTAAAGTGAGAGTCAATGTTTATATTACAGTGTCTGAGATTTTATCCTTCAGAAAAAAAAATCAGCTCAAGTGTAACTAATGGGTTTTTAATATATATCATACTTTTTGTTAGAATTGTTTGTTCTGTTCATGCACTGCTTAGCATTCCAAAGAGAATTAAGAAAATTAAGTTAAAGAGATATTTATAATAATAATTATTAAACGATAGTCCTATTTTGGGGTCCTGAATTTTAACAATAGTGAGAACAGTGTAAATCATACAGCTATTTACTGAGAATACTTTAAAACATTATATGATAAGAATTAGAGCATTTCTGAATATTGTGCATTTGTAACCATGCATGTAGGTATGCATGTGTATATGGATATGTACTTCCATCTATAGATTAATGCATATGTATATATATAATATTTGTCAGTATTCATATACATTTAAATAAAGGACATGGTAAAATATAGATACATATTAAATATTCCCTTTGAAGCAAGGAAATTATTAGTCAATATAATTAACATATTATGGTTTGTAATAATACAATATCAATTAAAAATTCATTTCTTACAAAGTATATATTAAAATTCTTACTGTAGTACGGCTAAGACACATTCAGTTTTTAAGCATACTTTCGTTAATCTTCTTGCCAAACTCTGCTGATGGTTTCCTCTATGTTTAATGAAGACACTGGATTACTACCATATCTATTACAATTTCTGGCTCTATAAACAGAGTATTTGTTTTCAGGTTCTGTGTTTTCTTTCATCCCCTTGTAATCAAGGAATTTTCACCACAGAGTTGTTAGGATAAAATGAGGCTAGTTATGAAACAGACTCAGGAATGAGTAGGTGGCTCAGTTGGTTGATCAACCGATTTCAGCTCAGGTTATGTGATCTCACAGTTCGTGAGTTGGAGCCCTACATGAGGCTAGCTGTTGTCAGCACAAAGCCTGCTTCCTTTTTGGATCCTCTGTCCCTCTCTCTCTGCCACTTATGCTCTCTCTCTCAAAAATATAAAATAAACATAAAAAAATAGGCTCATAAAGGATCTTTCATGTACTAAAAGGTAAACTAATGTTGATAACATCATCATCATCATCATCATCAGTGCCAGTAGAACTGTTAGCAATGTTCTAGTAATAGTAGTTTTGATCAAACTCCCTGTCTTCCTCTCTGCGATGCAATATCTTGTGCACTGAGGTGAAGGGAGTTTATGACCTAATCCTTTTAGCAAGAATTATGCTTTTCTAATTGAGATACAAGTAAATTACTCTGTATACTCTGAAGAAATTAGGAGCCATTATATTTCCTTCATAACAGAATCCCTTTCCCTTGACTACAATGTTTGTTTATTTGTGTGTTATTTTGCTTACCTAGTGACTTATGTTAGAGAAATGTTGGTCATTTTTTTAATGTTTATTTATTTTTGAGAGACAGAGACAGAGCCTGAGCAGAGGAGGGGCAGAGAGAGGGAGACTCAGAATCCGAAGCAGGCTCCAGCCTCTGAGTTGTCAGTTATCATGAACCATGAGTTTATGACTTGAGCCAAAATTGGAGTTTAACCAACTGAACCACACAGGCATCCCAGAAATGTCGGTCATTTTTAAATTAATAAACTCTATTTTGTAGAATACTTACAAATTACCCCCCCCAAAATGAGCAGAGTACACACACACACACACACACACACACACACACACACAGAAGAAATTCTTCTTTTTAACATTTGCATCAGTGAGGTACATTTGTTATACTTCATGAGCCAATATTAATACAATTTTACTAACTAAAGTTCAAGTTCTACTAGGTACTCTTTGGATTGTGTGTTCCATAGGTTTTGATAAATGCATAAGGACATACATCCACCATTACAGTGTCATTCAGAACAGTATCACTGCCTTAAAAGTGCCCTGTTTTCCATCTCCCAGTCCCCAACCCACTGGAAACCGCTGAGGCTTTTTCACTGTCTTTTGCCTTTTTAAAAATATCATAAGGGTGTAATCCCATAGTATTTTTTTTTTTAGAAAGCTACTTTATAGAGTATTTAATATATATTAAATTTCCTCCATGCATTTTAGTGGCTTGGTAGCTCATTTCTTTTTATTCCTGAATAATATTTCCATTGGGTGGATACACTACAATTTGTTTAGCAATTCACCTGCTGAAAGGCATGTTGGTTGCTTGTGAGATTTAGATATTTTGAATAAAGGTGAGGTGTTTATTTTATGCTTACCAGAAATTAAACATATTTATTTTAATGATCACTTTCATAAATACTTTAAACCAAGTATCTTTTGTATTTAAATAAAAAAAATTAAGATCTTCAGAAATGCACTCGTAAAAGTACTGTAATTATGTAAACTAACAACTGGTATAGTAACTATAAATTTGAACTGTCTGGTCTACACAGAGAGACCAAGACATTTAAATACAACTATGCTAAAATATTTATGAGGACAAGAATGTTTTTTTACTATATAAGGGTATATTGCTATTACAAGACATGGGTGTCATAGTATTATTATAGGAAGAAAGAGATCCTTGCGACTACCTCAGCATTCTCAATTACTTAATACATTTCACTCTAATAACTTCTCAGCACACAAGTACTGAAGTCGAACTACAGAAAATTCGAATCATATCTTTATGAGAGAAGTAGTTCTAAAAAGGAAAATATGGTGCCATAGGAAAGTACTTGTAATCAAATATCAGCAAATGAATGCCTATGTATTTATTACCTTAGAATAAACTGGCATTCACTAAGCCAGAATCTGCACAGCAAACTCTGAAAAACACTTTCTCAATTTATTTGTTTTTACTTCTCTTTTCCTTGTTTGTGTTAAAAATTTAGTTCCATAGGTTCACAGACTTTACCTGTTTCTATCAATGCTAAATATCTAGTGTACAGAATATTGCTAACACTTTATAGGTGCTCAACAGATATTCATGGACTATGTAAAGAACTGTCTCTGGATAGAGAATAATATGTTTCCTAAGCCCTGAACAGGCTGAATCCCAGAACTGTATGATTTCTGGGGATTGAGTGATGATCCATGAAGGCAACCTAAAAGAGAAGACTCCATAATCAATTTATGGTTTTAAAAAAAGCCTGAAGTGTATGTTTATGCATATATGTTTTGTGTATGTATAGCAGTGCATGTATATAACACTTGTACAAATACACAAATAGAAATCCATATACCTATATGAAGCATAAACTCTGACATTTAGTTTTTCAAAAGTTGCCATATCTGTTAGATTGTTAAGTGTCTGCACATTAACACATGATTTTTTGCTGCCCTTTGAAATTCTGACACAACCATGAAATACCAGAGGAAGAAGCCCAGGCTAGCCTACTGGGTGAGAAGGAACCACGAGAAGCAGAGATGTGTTGTCCCAGCATACCTCCCTGTTCCATCAGGCTGCCACCAGCCAAACACATGAATAAGACCATCCCAGAACATGGAGCAGCGAGGTGACTCATCAGCTGGTAACAGATGCATGGGAGAACCCAGCACAGATCAGCTCAGCAGCCTCAGAAGAATCACACAGCTGAGCCACTGAATGATGGGCTAAATAAAATGATTCTACTTTAAGCCACTAAATTTGTATTAGTTTACCATGCAAGAGATTCTGACTCATGCACTCTTGATGCGTTTACACTTTGCAAACAAAGTAGTCTGGGGTAGCACTTCTTTTTAAAAAGGTTAAATTATGATGGGATGGTAGGAGGCTAAAATATTGCATAAATATCAAAGTAGGCTTACTAATATGCCAGAGTGCAATGCAAAATAATTAGTAATCATTTTATGGTTTGTAAATATGTACTCAAAAACATTTTCCTTCTCAGTCTTCTGCATTAATAAAACAGTTTGGTAGCATTCTTATAGTCCATTAGGTTTAAATTACTGCATGCATTTTTTTAGAAGTTCCTCAGTGAGCACCCATACTGTGTTCTCCATTTTTTGAGGATTGTTTGAGCTCCATATTGATTTTTTGGTTCTTTTTACTAAATGCCATTTTTGCCAAATAAATGGCTTTATCTTATTTCTTGTGAAGATACTCACTTGTGAGTATGCATGTTATTTAGTTATTTTATAACACTTTAGTAAATGTAAATGTACACACATATACATTGTCATTTATTTTTGTTTTATTTTTGTTGACTTACAACATTAGTTTAAGTTGTATAAGATAATGATTCAATATTTGCATATATTGTGAAATGATCACCACAATAAGTCTAAATTCCATCACCATACATAATTACAAATATTTTTCTTGTGATGAGAATTTTAATATCTACACAATTAGTGCTTTCATATATACAATACAGTGTTATTAACTATAGTCATCATGCTGTACCATACATCTCCAGGTCTCATTTATTTTGTTTCTAGAAGTTTGTTATCTTTGACTATCACTACCCACTTCACCTACTCTCTTACTTCTGCCTTTGATAATCACTGATCTGCTCTCTGTATCTATAAGCTCTGTTTTGTTTTTATAAGTGAGATAATATGGTATTTGTCTTGTCCAGCTGACTTATTTCACTTAGCATAATGCCCACAAGATCCATCCATGTTACCATAAATGGCAAGATTTCCTTCCTTTTTATGGCTGAATGCTATTCTTTTTTGTATATATACCACATTTTCTTTATCCATGCTTCCATTGGTGGATACTGAGGTTGATTCCAGGTCTTGGCTATTGTAAATAATACTGCAGTAAACATGGCGTACATATATCTTTTCAAGTTAGCCTTTTCATTTCCTTTAGAAATATGGATTTTATAATTTTCAAAGACATTGAAATCCTAAGCTTTCAATATAGTGTAATTCTGAAACCTGGTATGATAGATATAATAATATTGTAAAAATTGCACTGCATGCAACTTTAACCCTCAGTAAAACAAGAGCAAAGGCTTCTTACTTTTGTTTTCTCTCACATTTTTAAAACGATTTTCATCAGAGTGATAGACACACATGATAGTACATCATTTGCACTTAGAAGAGTTCATCACAAGATAGTTTTCTTATCTTAATTATTTAGTGCAATTATATCGAGCTGGTATAAAATACGGATTCCAAATTTCTGCAGCTTAACACATGAAATGTGTATTGTTCTTTCAAACTGATGTGGACAGTCCTACAAGAGCTTCTGCAGTAGGCAGCCCTACTTTAAGTGGTTCTTACTGTAGGCAGGAGAAAATGGGGAAAAAAAGGTAACTGAGGAGCTGTTCATAGGCTGAAGACTTACTTCTATTCCCTTCCCACTGGCCTGAACTAGTTGCCTGATACCAAGTAGAGGATGAAGAGTTGATCATCTTTTGCATGCACAGAGTAAAAATGAGTAAGTTTCATGGACAAATAACATAGATCTTTACAAAACCTTCCTTGTCTACCCAAGTTCAACTCCTCAAAGGCATATTCTTTTTCTTTTATAACATGCTCCACCCATTTCTCCATTTATCATTGTAAGAAAATTTGCACTGGCTCCTTCCTATAAAACATAAAAAAAATACGTTTATTCTATCCACTTCTCTCCCCTCCTGAATATTATTTATTTATATCATTGACTCCTTTGATTCCTTTCAATCATTTAATCACTGATTATTGTCTCAATTATAAAATCAACATAACATTTTATATCTATTTCCATCAACTTCTAACAGAATCTCAGGCCTGGACTGAGAGTAATTTTTCCTCCCAATCTCTCCAGATTCTAGCAATAATAATTTTAACGTAGCATTTTCAAGATTTTTAGAGTTATTTCATGTTTTGCCTTCAAAACTTACTTTTCATTATATATCCCTAGATTGATAAAGAGTATGAACAATATAATTTCTGTATTGTTGTCACTAGAAAATTATGTCTAATTATGTGCCAATAATTTAAATCACTCCATAGACACTCAAATATGACCATCCTTGGCTTCAAAAACAAATATTTTGATTTGATTTTACAATTCAATTTTTTTATCTCTCCACCACATCTTTTATTTTCTTTTTTCTTTGGATTGTAACTTTTATATATAAATACATTTTACTGGAGCTTCTGATTACTCTTCTTAATTTTTCATTTTGTGTCTTTATCACTACCATCTTTATCTCAGCTTTCAATCATACTTAATATTTTTTTCTGATCCCTTATTACTTAGAAATATCCCTTCTGTATGCTTTTGAGAAGATACTCACAAGACTACTGCAAGTTATTTATCCGACGCTTTATATATGGAGTCCTCATTCCTGGGCCCTACCTTCCATATTGCCACCTTTCAGCCACCTGTGCCACTGAGATTTGGCTAGAGCATGAAAAAGTCATCACAAGCAAATTTTCATTGTCTTTTATGCACAAAAACTACTTTTATGGATTCACTGTTGACTATTAATTTGACTGAGAAGAGATTTTTAGATAATGATCCCGAAGTGTCTATTCCCTGAGAAATTTGACAGCAAGACTCCAGTAACTGTGATGTCAAGTATTCCCTGATGCTTTTCAATTCTTATTATGGGGAAATATATCTTTTATCTCTCTCTCTTCTGCCTTAAGGAATTTCTCTATGTCTTTTGTGTTTTGCAAATTCTTCAGATATGTGTATAGATATAAATACTATCTTCATTTATTCTTTTTAAAATGAACTCTTTCATATCAACTAAGATCTCCAGTAAATTTCTTTATTTGATGGATGACTTTCATCCATTTCTTTTCCTTTTCTTTTAATAAGTATTTTATTGCATAGATAGTTGTGGACATGTGGTCAGCACTGAATGCCCTTTTGTAAATAGAACATCAATTTTTATTTAGGTTATTACAACTCTACCATCTAACCATGAAGTTCAGGGTGATTAATTCTACCCCCATCTTTATTTTTTCTTTCTAATTTACATGTAATTTTCCTTACCATCCTATTTAATTCAGGGTTGGAAGTATGGCTCAATTTTGGACAATGCATACAAAGAAAACATGTATGCTGAGGCCACAGCAAGGTAATGAATTTTCAGGGCTGTGGCCACATGAAACATAGGGACTCTTCCTCAAAAAGCAAGGGGGAAAAGTGCCATGAAAGGTACCACAGTATAACACTTGTTCCTTTGTTTCTCTCTTGATGTGTCATGTGTTTTTATTTGCTACTTAATGTCATGCTTCATCTGTCCTTGGGCACTCAGCATACTTTTAGGGTGAGTACAGACTCTGACAAGTACCCTATTGACCTATAGAAAGACTCTGCTCCTGTAGCACACCAGCTGCCTGTCCTACATCTTGCCAGATAGCAGACTATGGGCAGTGCCCCCTCCTGGGATAAAGAAATCAGCCTCCCCTTTCCACTCTCCAAAGTCTCAACCAATAGCAGGTAGGTGATCCTCATGGTTTTCCATTCTTACTACCTACATGAGAGGTGGGCAGAAGGTTCACCTTTGCTGAATCATCAGCTACCATGCACCATGAGCTCCCAGGCTAAGGCCAGAAAAGCTGCCACTGTGACTTTCTCTGAAGCATGCTTGCAGGCTCCTGAAGTTGGGTCTTGCTAGGGCTTCTGGAAAAGCAGCTTTCTTCCCATTCTGCTGCATCTACTTGGAAAGATACTCCCTTATCTGGATAGTAGTGTACAGATGTGACATGAGAAACTGTTGTTGCAGCCAGAGAAGGTAGCCAGAGATAAAGGTCACAAGAGAAGGTAGCCAGACGATAAAGGTCACAGACATAGATAATCACAGAAAAGAATATTGAGCTTTTCTCACAGAACTTCCATTACTTATCTCATCTTTGGACATTTCAGATACAGAAGCAAATACATTCTTAAAACTATTTAAGTGAGATTTCCACATACGTGATTGGAATAATCCAAATCGACACTTAGGTTTGTACATTTCCTGAAATTTATGTCTATCTTTTCTTTCTTAGGCTTTCTTTCAATATTTCTCTCTACATTTTGTGGGAATGTTTTTAACACATAAAATACAACTCTTTATTTTTGAAGTATGAATTATGTTTTTAGTTTTTGAGGTTTCTTTTTTGAATTTTTATTTTTCCATGGCATCAAATTTTTAAGGAATGCATTTTAATTGATTAAATTTAAGCTTAGCTTATTGTAAAACTCATTTTTCTAAACAATCTCTGTTTCTCTTGGTTCAGATATTCATTTATTTATTGCTTACTTTTCTTTCTTGTTTGTTTAGTTGTTATCGGTCTAAGCATGAAAATATTTAATTGTCCTTAACTCATAAATTATGCCCAGGGCTGGTATCGAAGGTTTTTTTTAATTCTTTGCTGTTGGGTAAGCAGATCTGTTACAGGCTAGAGCATTCCTAAATGGGGGTGCCATGACCTTTCCAGGGATCACTTTTGGAAAGCAATTAGTAGAACTCACTTTAAGATGAGATATGAATGCTTTTGGGTTATGGACAGTCTCTAATGATTACAAAAGCTAATATATAAGGACTTAATTTAAAGGCACATTAAATTGTTTGGAGAGAGAGCAGGCTCCCTATTCTCTGTTCCCAGTGGAGGGTATAGCACTATAGATTGAAGCAGGCTTTCTTTTTTTTTAAGATTTTAATTATTATTATAATTTTTTTTATTTTTTATAGTTTATTTATT